TGGAGGTGTAGGGTATCGAAATTATGAGTATTAGAAAACTAGCAATGATGGAGTATTAGAAAACTAGCAGTGAAGATCTATTCATTGAAGTTAGCTAAATTAGAGCCATTTTTCCATCACAAGTGGATTTAACCATACAACTGAATGCGAAGTCAATGGCTACAAGTCAGCTATCCAAGTTCAGTTTTCCTTCATCACAAAGGAGACAGCAGGAATGAAAAGTGCAGGACTTTGGGGCTAAGTGACTTGACCTCTCTGAGCTATCTATGACTTGGCTCTCCATTACTCTTCAGAGTTGGCGAGAGGTTTAAATAAGATCGTGTATAGCTGACCCACAGTATCTGTTGGGGACTGGTTTCAAGACCCCCGTGGATATTAAAATCCTCAGATACTGAAGTCACTTAAATAAAATGGGGTTCTGTATTTGAGGTGTCTGGTACAGGGGAGAATCAATATTTCATTCTTCTCTTGTCTGCCCCCAAAGTCCCACCTCTAAAGAAGGGCAACCACTCGGCTTTTATCTCTACCATCTCTAGTACAGTGTCAGAGATATAATAACAAGCAGCTGTGGGGGTATTTTAAGGAAAAATATTGATGGCTTTGCTTCCTGGGATTTAACCAAAAAATATCCATAGACTACAAGTTGGTGAGGGTGAAAGTACTAACAAGTTTCTAATCCCATAACTCAGCGGAAGCTGGTGCACTGAGACAACCGTAAGAAAGAAAAATGAAGGAAGAGTACCGTCTCTTAAGATGGGTCTGAATCTAAATGCTCCAATTCATCTAGTGACTGACTATACAAGAGACATTTTACTTCATGTCCTTTTGGCATCTGTCAAAGCTCTGATGTTAAACATAGTTCAAAACAAGAATTGGCGCTTTCAATAAGGATTAGGAATAGAATAAAAGTCACTGGTGCATGTGTTAATCATGTTAACAACTCAAATGACGATGTCTCTCTCAATCATCTCCCCAGTTGCAAGAGAAACCTAGCAGATGATACAGGAAATAAAAACGCAGGCTTCAGAGTTTACCTAAATAACAGAATAAGGAAAGCTGCAAGACAGCAAGAGAGAAGAAACCCACACAAGTGAACCAACAGCTCCTACAAAGCCACAGATAATGTCCAAGATTTAAAAAATACTAAGAAGGAATTAACTGGTGTTACAAAACATCTCTACTAATCTCACATTAACAATGATAGGGTGCACTGACTCCATACGTGCAGCTAATTCCAGTGCAAACACAAGTATCATACCCAGAAATGACAAATCAAGGGAAAATACTCTCACCACAAATAAATATGTATGTAAAGTAATGCACATGTTAATTAGCTTGATTTAGCCATTCCACAATGCAGACCCATACCAAAACATCAAGTTGTATACCACGAATACATACAAATGTTGTCAATTTAAAAACAGGCATTAAGGTAAACAGCTGAATTTCTATATTACCAGAAGTCAAAGGATCTAAAATTGTATTACATTGGTAAATGAGAACTGAAATTGATTGTAATTCGAAAACGGAACAATGTTCCCACATATCATGTCCAAGGCTAAGTGACACCCCACAACTATTCTCAAAAGATCACAGCATTTAAAACCATAGAAGTGTCAGTTATGCTATTGAGTGTCTTTTATCTGCCAGGTTGTACTCCAAGTACATTCCTATTATTTTATAAAGGAAGAATCCTAGGCACAAAAGGTTAAGTGACCTCATAGAGCTTAGAAAGCAGCAGAAACAGAAGCTGAAGTCAGGTGTAAGACTCTAAGGTAGTATTCCTATTGAAGGGACCATATTGGTGAAATTCTCCTTTAACTCTCATAGGGTACTTATTACAATGCTATGATAACATAGAAAAGCCCAGAGGTTCAGGGTTACACTCAGATTAAAACTTTTAAGATGAGTTCCCTAGTTATCTCCACTCCTTCTCCTGGTTCAGTTACCTGCATCCTTTCTTCCTGTTACTTTTACAATGATTAACACATAACATGGTGTCAAGAAAATGTGTTTTCATTAACTGTTGACAAAGAATTCAATAACTGCTCACTGAATAGAATTCAGCCAAGTAACAAAAAGACCACCTGATCATCTGCGTAAGAAGAGAGTGGAATGGGCTAATGAAGCATATTTCACACCTCAGGAAAAGAAAACATAGTTGCTGGTTCCAAAATGAAATACTCAGCCTCAGATAGCAAGTGTATGTGATCCATCATGTCTCTTCATCCCATATTCCTCCCTACTTCCCTTCCCCAGAACCTCACTTTTCTCTCAGCTTAGCCATATACTTCATTGGGGACAGGGGTGAGGTGTGACAAAGGGAGGGGAAGAAGTCACAAATAACTGCAGTCTCTTCCATTTGGATCACTCTCTACGCCTTCCCAGGAGATGGAAGTATGGGCATGAAAATCCTCTGCCTCAGCAGCACACCCCAACATGCAAAGGCTTAGGAAAGCATGAAATCAGCCCAGCTTGTCAATCATGGAGCCCGGTCAGACTCTGGCTAAATTCTATCATGTAGAAAGGGGAATAAAACTTTTGAAAAGTAAACTAAATGAGGAACCTTTTCCTCAGGGCAAGAGAGGTACTTCTAATTGACTTTTCAACTAGAGTGAAGGTCAACACGTGGCCCCAGGCTTCACTCCTCTGGAGAAGGAAATGAGAAGGCAGACCACAGGCCACCCAGGCCCGAAGCCAGAAACTCAGATAAATGCTACCAAGTCAGTTTGCCAGCAGCCTGCTAATGAGGAGCCCTCATACACACAACTCTCAGAGCTGTTCATTTCCAAGAGGTATTTTAACTAGAATTAGTTCTGGGGTTTTCATGATGGCAATGGAACAACCTTGTCCCTCTTCCCCTAAAAAATCATGGAGCCTGGTTGGACCCCCCAAGTCACACACTTTTTGTGTGACTTCAATGTACCCAGGCAAAAGAAGTAATAGTCAGAGAGGGGCAAACCCACAGAATCAGGGCCACATGTCCTATTAGCAATACTGTTTGGCCTCTATCCCCATCACCCTATGGCAAAGAAAAGAGAGGCATCGGAACCCCACAAGGAAAACCATGGCAAGAATATTTTATTTAGCCTCAGAAATGAAGGTATTCTCCTTCCTGCATGGTATCACCAGCTGTTATTATTGGTCAAATAACAACAGCAACAGCAAACAAAAACGGGGGACAGAATTAAAAAAAGGGCAGCAGAGGGTCTGTGGAGGCATGACCTCAGAATTGGCTAGAACCACAAGATCCCAAAGACCCCTTCCTCCCCCAGTCCATAAAGGGGAAGCCAGCCGGTTTTGATTCCCTAGATTCTAGGTGAAACGGATATCCTTAAAGCCTGTACAAGATTCAAGTGACCCATAAAGTTCTCTGCAACCGTTAAAAAAAAAAAAAAAATACAAAAGCTGCTATTTAAATTCAAGGGTACAAATGAAAATGAGGCTCAGATTTAGAGGAAAAAAGGTAAAAGTAACTAACTTTTAGTTACTTCCCTCCCAAACTTGTCTTACGCATCTCTTCCCTCTGGCTGTTTCTGACTTGATTTTGTTATAATAAACCAGTAAATGCTTCCTGGGCTGTAAAAGGAGGAGGAGGACATAGACTCTGCTGTTCAGATCCACACACTAATCCCTACTATGAGCAGTGACTCAAACGCTGAATCTGAATAGGGTGGCCCTGGTGACTGAGATGGCAACCTCTCTAAAGGTCTGGAGCCCACTCTTGGCCCTGCTTTGATCCTATGCAGGTTGCTTGTACACAAGAAAAACATCTACTGGAGGCAATTCATAAAACATCACTACCCATGTCCAAGAGTACAGATGTGATGTCCTCATGAGAGAAAAAGAAGTGTTTTAAAAGATAAGAGCTCTCACATGTTCATCTAAATCTCAAGGTACCAAACTGAGCATACATGTGCTAATGACAACTGGAATGACTGCTATAGACATGCATATGTATGGGCCCAGAATGCCCCCAATGTACTCAAGTGTCACTGGGAGAATTCCAAAAATAGCTACACAGAGAGCAGGAGCTTCAGCTACATTGAATTCCACGGCAGCATGGATGAGTATGTTGATGGCATAGAGGACCTGAAGATAAAGTCTATCAGCAGGTAGGTCTACCCACATTCCCAGGTTTTGGAAGAGTATTCCATACTTCCCAAGCGGTAGCCCCTGCCTATGTCCATTGTCCCGCCACTCCCACTGTGCAACTGATACCATAACTTTCCCTATGTTGTTTCTCTGCCTTTAATACACTTTTGTCTTTCATTTACCTAACTTACTTCTCACATGTATTTTCAAGATTCAGCTCATATGGCATCTATTCTTGACAAACCCAGGAGATTTCCCAATATTGACTCCTTTATACCTACCCAAGCTGAATGATCCTTTCTCTAAATAATTGTATTATTCAAAAAACAAAACCAGAAAATAACAAGTGCTGGTGAAAATATGAAGATATTAAAATCCTTGCGCACTGCTGGTATAAAATGGGGCAGCTGCTGTACAAAACAGTATGGCAGTTCCCCCCAAAATTAAAAATACAATTACCATATGATCCAGCAATTTAACTTCTGGGTATATTTCCAAAATAACTGAAAGCAGGGTCTTAACGGGGAGTTAGATTTCAATGAGTCTAGAAGTTCAGTTTTGCAAGATAAAAGGAATTCTAGAGATGGACAGTGGTGATGGTTGCAACAATAATGTGAATATATTTCATGCCACTGAACTATACATTTGAAAGTGGTTAAGATGGCAAATGTCATGTTATGTCTATTTTACTACAATTAAAAAAAAAAAACTAGGAAAAAAGGAAATAGCTAACTAACTCCACTTAAATCATCCTTCCTGAGGAGTAGGGAAAGTAATGAAGGGCGGAATCATAGGTCCTCCATATAAAAATACCACACGTTTTTAAGCTTTTCAAATTTCAGACTCAGCTACAGAACAGTCCAACAAGTCACATCTGCCCCCAGGAGCCACAGAAAGCTACTCACCTCACTGAGGTAAATAAAAAAAGAGCAGGTGGACCCATCCACTCCATAGTCTGCGTAGCAGGGATCTGAACGCCACATGTCTTTCATCCACTGAAACAAGAAGAACATCTCTGAGCAGCCCATTCACAGGCCCTCCACATCTGCTGACAGGGAAGGCGAGGATAGGAATGGTGAAGACGGAGTGGATGGCTCAAGCTGTGGCCTAAATAACTGAGTGACAGAGTCACTGAGCTAAGGTCAAGATAGCCAGGTGCGCAGCTCACCTCCTTGGATGATTAACAGGAAGACACTGGCTTACATTAGGCCTCAGCAGAAGTGCTTAGAGTGGAGAGTAAGGTTGTGGGACAGCAGGCAATAAAGCCCAGGAGAGGCGGTGGCTCGGGGATTTTTACCAAGATCAAGTGCCTAATGGGACTCTGATATCTACACCTCCTCCAGGAACTCCAGTTCCAACAGCCCACAGCGTGGTACCTGAAACACAGTGTGTGCAGGAGGGCACAAACGAGTGTTGACAGACGGCCCACATGGATACCACCCAAATGTTTCTGGGGCTGGTCCCACTGTCATAACTACATCCCTGAATGGACACTTTTCTCTGAAAACTACTGAGCAGGGAGTGGTCTCCCCAGGGACAGGCCATACAAATGGGATTTCTGAAAAAAAAAAAAAGCAGCCAAGTAAAAGAGCAGCCAAGCGTCTCTGGGTACTCAACCGCAAATACAAATGTGACACTTAAACCACAATCAGAAGGCTTCAGAGCAGGAGCCTGGGGACTGAGAGGGTGGGGAGTTGGACACTAAATAACGGCAGTTCCTTGTCATTGGTCCTCGAAGGATCACCTGTTGGAGGCTGGGAAAGAGAGAGGGGAAGTCAGCTTCAACGACTTAGCAGGTGCCTGAAATGGTCCAGGCTCTCTCATGCTGACCAGTGAGCACCACTGTTGACCAACCCCACATAGATGACACAGGCAGAGCAGGGTTGTCATAGCCACAGCCAAAGCCAGCAGAATGGAGGCACCCCATAAATGATTCATGTCAAGGGCTCACTCAGCCATTTGTATCACTGAGGAGGAAAAGGAAGGGAAAGGAAAAAGAAGAGGTGTTTGTGCAGACTGGGGATGATGAAAATGACCTTGCTCGCCTCTGCCTTACCTTGATCTTTCCCTCACAGTGGGGGTAGCCGTCCATAGGAGGCAATACACATTTTTCTTGAGCTCCGTTAATGATATCTGTGAAGAATGAAAAACAACAAAGGATACAATGAGATCTATAAAACACAAGCCTAACATTCTTGTAAGCCAAGAGGTAGGGAGAGAAACCAAAAAAGAAAGGTCTCTGTTGGCAGCCATGCTCTGATACATGGAGCCCCTCTAGCTCGAACATAGCTGACTGGTTCACAGTGATGACTGACCTGAGGACAGCCCACCTACAGGATGGTCAGAGACCTATGACAACATGTGTGGCCCGGCTTAAAAAAGTGAGCCAGGCCAACCAGAGTGCCTGCTTAGAAATCTGCAATTGGGCAACTAAGAAACCAAACAAGCAGGGAGCAGAAAATAGAGCCATGTAATTACGAGGGTCCTCCAGCACTGGTAGGGACATTCTAGGCTATGTGGTCAAGCAAGCTGGGGCCATGAACAGACCTCGTGAAGACAACTGCATGAGCTGAGAAAGCCAGTAGGCCAGAGAGATGTGAATAGAGCTGGTGCACAGAGAGTCATAAGATGTATCTGCACCATCCTAAGGAACTCCCACCCTGCATCCATGGGATACAGCTTCTTACAGACCTAGTCCTTAGATTTCCATGAAGGTCTCCTTATTGTTTCAAATATTTCCTCACAATAAACTCATTTTATATTAGCTAGTTTGAATGGGTTCCTATTCCTTGTAACTGTAGGGTCAAAATGAAAACAAATGCCTTTGAGAAGCTAAGGGTCATTTCCTTCTGATAGAAACATTCAATATAGTCCTCCTAGCTATTTAAAACCATATATTATTGTGAACTAGCGCCATCCTACAGTACTATAGAACAGCAGACCTTATTCCTCCTGTCTAGCTATAAAGAAATGAGAAATGTTTGAGATTATGAAAATGCTAATTACCCTGATCTGGTCACTATATATTTTATGTATCACAACATCACATCACTAAGTATCCTATAAATACGTATAATTATGTCGATTAAAAAAATTAAATGAAGCTTACAGTCTAACGGTGGAGAACATACAAATAAATGAACAATGAACAATAAAACAACAGTATAACAGGCATTATGGCAGGGCTGGGCAAGGAAAGACACCCAGCCTACTCTCCAAAGCTCCAAGAAGGCCTCCTGCATCCAGTGACATCTTAGCCAAGATGTGAAGACAAAGTGGGAGTGAGCCAGCCAAAGGGACAATCTAATGATGCCGTTCAAGGAACTGAGGTGGTCTCCAACAGAAAGAAGTGTGAGGTACTCAGGCCAGACACGAGAGGCAACAGGAAAGGCTTCAAATACCACAATAAGTACTCTGATCTTTACCCTAAGAACATGGTGGAATAATGTTATAGAGGGGAAGATTATGATCACATTGTTACGTAGGAATGACCATTTTAGTCGGAAAACAGGACAACCCTAAACCTACACGTTTCTCTTTTCAGACCTACTATATTTTCCAGAAATGTCTGGAAAATATCATTACTTACTGCTGATAGTTTTCTAAAGAAAGCAATCAAAAACTAGATTCCAAACTGCAATATTATTTCACAGGGGTATTGAAATAACTCAGTGGCTGCTGGGACTGAGACGGAAGTTGGTGCTAAGGAGGATTTCACCTGCCCCTTGAAAACCAGTTATTTTGATAGTCTGTCACCAAAATTCTTGACCTCTTGATTCAAGTATTTCAATAAGCCCTCTATCTGCTAAGAGTAACTAGAGCATAAAAAAAATACCCTCTTTCTCATGGGTCTCTTAGTAGTTAAAATGGAGGTTACTTGGCTTGTCAGAGCCCCTGCTGCATGATGTGTAAAATGGGAATGACTCTGCCTCTATTTCATCCAGCTCTTACTAAATCAACATCCATCAAGAGGCTGTCCTGGAATGCCCAATGGCAGATACCACAGACCACAGTAGGTGCTTAAAAGTTGGCATTTGCTATATAATTCCACACAACTTTCACTTGCTATATCTGGGAAAACAGCACTTCAAATGCACAGACATTTCTGGAAAAGCATTCTGTGTTTTTGAAATAGATGCAGACTTGAGGTGGAAAGAGCTCCAGAAGCCCTAACAAATGGAATGCCTCACCAGAGAATAGTATTTTGCAGCGACCATTATACCTATCACTATTTTTAATTCTGATTTTGCTTGCTAATGCTTACGTGGCATGATGGGGGGTTTTGGCCAAGCAAATGAGCAGCAGCAGAGGTTCCACGAAATTAGACACAGTCTATGAGAGCCTGCAGTTGGTAATCAGACATTTTAGGGGGTACCTGGCGGGGAAATGCCACCCCCTTTACACCACAGATACTATTCTACTCCTGGAATATTCACTGCCAACTAGAGGCTACTGACACGGTGGTGTGGTAGGGCGGGGTGAAGCAGGCTCATTGAATGAGAAAATAAACTAACAGATCCATGAAGGCCTGCGAGCAAAGCCCCAAAGCTGACAGTGTGGGTCCATTCATTAAGAATTTCAAGGAATAAAGTTAAGGTCAGCACTTTTTTTGTAAAGAACGAGAAAGTAAATATTTAAGACTCTGTGAGCCACAAGGTCCCTGTCTCAACTACTGAACTCTGCTGTTGTCATGAAAAAGCAGCCACAGGCCGGGCGCGGTGGCTCAAGCCTGTAATCCCAGCACTTTGGGAGGCCGAGACGGGCGGATCACGAGGTCAGGAGATCGAGACCATCCTGGCTGACACAGTGAAACCCCGTCTCTACTAAAAAATACAAAAAAACTAGCCGGGCGAGGTGGCGGGCGCCTGTAGTCCCAGCTACTCGGGAGGCTGAGGCAGGAAAATGGCGTGAACCCGGGAGGCGGAGCTTGCAGTGAGCCAAGATCACGCCACTGCACTCCAGCCTGGGCGGCAGAGCGAGACTCTGTCTCAAAAAAAAAAAAAAAAAAAGAAAAAGCAGCCACAGATCACAGCTGAACGAATGGATGGGCTGTGTTCCAATAAAACATTATTTACAGAATCAGGCACAGACCCCCCTGTTGCTATGCTAGGAGATTCCCAAAACAAGGCCCCTCATTTCTGCCAGAGCCTCCTGGACTGACTTCTTTCAAGACTCCCTGCAGGCCTTCCTCTTCCTGGAATGTCCTTCTTCTCAGTCCCTCCAGGTCACCACTCTTAATCTGCCCAGTTAAAGCCCCTTCCTCTTTCTTCAGCTAAAGCCAACACCTCTCTGAAGAAACAGTCCTTAATTCTTCCTTCCCACGCCTAGTCAGGATTGTATTAGGAATCCTGTCCTCCTCTGGGCTTCCCTGGCCTCTTGCTCATGTCTCTCCTAACTGCAGTGAGTGATTGTGTTTTATTCCTTTATGGCAGTCCATCTCCCCTCCTAGTACATGAGGAACCTATAGGAAAGTTAGTGTCTAGAGATCCAGCAGGAAGACATAAGTGCCATCTGACGGAATAAACACAGGCGTGTTCCCCTCTGCCCAACAGTCCTGACTCCTGGGCTCAGCGAGAACTAGACTGAGCGGAGACTCCCACCAGGCCAGGGCTTTTCCTCTTCCTCAAACTGGTGGTTTGTCAGCTAATTCAACAGAGTCTCCTCTGCAACTCCATGTTCTTATACATGAATTTTCTCTCCTTTATTTAGTTACACAGTGATGGGTCTGAACAGATAAGGGCTTCCAGAGGCATTGGTTTAAGAGTGCTCAAGGTTCTCGGGTAGAGGGAATCTGTGACTGGGAGAAACCGGGAGTCCCAGCCTTCCCAGCATGGGGCAGAACTGCTCCCAAACCTGACCAGGAATAACCTGACCAAGACCTTCCAACACACCACAGCTCATAAGGACTTCCAGCTCCTTTTCAGAGGATGGCTCCTCATTTTATTTCTATCAAATGACCAAAATTCTATAAACGTTTTTATTAGTTTGTGTCCATGGAGGACCTTCCTAACTGTGGAGGTGCCTCTCATCTAAATTTGGTTACGAAACAAAACTTTGGGCCAAAAAAGGTTAATGTTACTGCTTTCCAGGGGAAACTGAGCTTACTATACACAAGCTCTCTTCAAAAGAGGGAGGTAGGTACTATGCTTATAGCCTGGGTGATGGTATCCATGGAACCTCAAGCCTCAGCATCACATAGTTACTCATGTAACAAACTTGTATGGCATGGACTCTTTATAATAAAAGTTGAAATAAAGTAAAAATCGAGGGTATAAAAAGAAAAAAGGAGAAAGATCTGCCAAGATATGTAACTTGAATGCTCTCCCTGCTGTTAATCCCAAGCTTTCCCCATGCCATTTTTGTAAAATGTTGAAAGGGCAAGGAAAATAAAAATTTTAAGTGTAAGCAATGAAGCTCAGCTCTGTTTAGGATTCAGTTTTATCCGTTACCCTTACACCAGCCCAAGTTGCAACATCTTTCCCCCAAAACTTCACCTCTGTATGATCCTGTGGCATTGGCAACCAGGTATCTACACAGAAGGCAGATTATGCAGGTGTAAAAATTCTGTTGCTTTATCAGTCACTTGTGCCCACATGATGTAGTGGGTGTTCGAATATGGGTTTAATCTAAGTGAACAAATACTTTTCCTGCCATCAAAAATGCTTAAGATTCAGGAGGAACATATACACTGCAGGAGCAGAAGCAGCACGAGATGTCACAAACACACACAGCGGGGGTGTTCCTGTGAGGTGTGGAGCCAGATTCTCCTGACAGTCCCAACAGACACACACATATCGAGAGAGACGTGTACAGAGGGAGACAACGACATTTCACATACATATTAAGAAGCGACAGGGATAAAGAAATACGAAACCAGACAGATATATATGTGTGTGTGTGTGTGTGTGTGTGTGTATTTCTTGCTGTCTATGGCGTCAGAGCAAGGAAAGAAAAAGGGGAGAGTCAGGGCAGGAGAAACTGGTATGATGGTCTCAAAGGAACGGTGAGAATAGAAATAGCGTGATATAGGACAGGAAAAGAAACGGATGGAGGATAACTTGCCTTGATACATCACATACATTATCCCGTTTTAGAAAAAAGGAAGATGGTTACCTCATCCGACAGTCTGAAAG